TCAGAATATATAGAGAAGGCAATGACAGCACTGATAATGAAATAAACAAAGGACGGCAGTGCACTCTACACGGTTTGTGAGCTATAATGCGAATCACCCTTTTTTGTAGGCGAAAAATTTTCGTAGCATGAGCAGAGTTCCCCCAGACCTGTACAGCATAGCTTATTTGTGAGTGAAATAGGGAAAAATATGCCATCTTAAGTAAATGAGGGCTGACAATGCGTTTTAGATTTCTAATGAGAAAAATGGTAGATGAAAGCTTCTTGGTAAGAGATTCAACATGAGCTGACCAATTTAGAGACTCGTTAATTTTAATTCCAAGTAGCGTAACATTGTCACCCTTCAGTAATGAAGTGTTAGAGGTTACAATTAACTGTTGGGTCTTATTGCTATTTAGTATGAGGCGATTATTGGTGAACCAGTTTTCGGCCAATTTCTCACATTCGTAGGCTTTATGTTGTAGTTCACTGCTTTTATGAGCTGATGATAGCAATGTTGTGTCATCGGCAAATAAAACGCAAGTATTAGGTAACATGGTGTAATAGAAGTCATTAATGAAGGTGATGAACAAAATTGGCCCAAGCACTGAGCCCTGCGGCACCCCCGCCTTTATTGTACTGCAGTTTGAATAGACGCCTTTGTTGTACTGCATTGCTTAATGTTACAGACGATATTTTATGTGCTTTGGACAAAGGTGATATTGCAGTACTAGTGCTATTAGAGTATAGCAAAGCATTTGATACTATCAATCATAAATTGCTTTTAACCATACTTTCTCATATAGGTATTGGGATGGACGCCGTTGGACTAATTAATAGTTTTCTCAGTGATAGGTGTCAAATGGTTAAGTTAGGACATGATAAGGTTTCGGATTTGATAAATGTAAAAACAGGAGTTCCTCAGGGATCAATTATAGGTCCATTGTTGTATACAATATATACCAGCCAATTACATAAAGTTTTGAAATCTTGTCGCTACCATCTTTATGCTGATGATACTCAGCTATACTTATCGTTCCCTGCAAGTACAATAGACGAATCGCTTAATAAAATTAATGAAGACCTTAATATGTTGTACAAAACCTCTAAAGATCATAACTTAATGATAAACCCAAATAAATCTAGTGCATTAGTTTTTGGTAATTATGAGTGTACTCAGCTAAAACTACATATTAACGATGTGCATATACCAATAAAGCGTGTAGGAAGAAATTTAGGTTTACATATGGATAATGAACTGCGATTTCGTGAGCATATTAATATGTGTATACGTAAAGCATACGGAAACTTAAAAGCCCTATATCCACATAGACATTATTTGTCCTTCAACTCCAAGAAAAAGTTATGCAATGCTTTAGTGTTGTCAAATTTTAACTTTTGCGATACGCTATATGGGCCATGTTTGGATGCCGTAAGCATTCGTCGCATACAAACTGTTCAGAACGACTGCGTTCGATTTATTTTTGGTCTTCGACGTCATGAGCATGTTTCCAAAAAACTGAAACAATTGCAATGGTTAGATATGATGCAGCGAAGAAAACTACATGCACTTTGCATGTATCACTCAATAATCACTACAGGCTTTCCAAAATACCTTCATGAAAAAATTCGCTATCGAACCGATGTTCATAATATTAATATTCGTGGAAAAGGGCTATTATCAATGCCAATATTTAAATATAAAACAAAAAAAATGTACCAAAGATCTTTCTCCTACAATATAACTTCACTATACAATGCCCTCTCTCCCGATTTAAAATTATACCCTTTAAAATCTTTTAAATACAAAATACGAAGGTCTATGTCGTGAGATCCTTACCGTATACTATACAACCTCGGTGTGCACCTATCATTATGCACTGTTTACCATGCTGTAAATTGTTCGGGCTGCAATATGTATGTTTAACAATTTTTGATTATTTAATTATCCTTGTGATTGTTCCTCTTCTCAGCAAGTTTACAATTTTTTGAGGGTTAAGTGGAAGATCGGCGAAGACATATATTCTTAACCGAACTTCGCCTTTGGGTCAGGCTCATTTGAGATTAATTAATTAATAAAACTTTAGCACACTTGCACTAGAATAAAATCTTTTTTTTTCTTTTCTCTAATATATTTTACATTTTTTTTTAAATTTAAGATAGTATTATTGTGTATGCATGTGTGTGTGTACTTAACAATGTCCTGACGATTCCAATAAAGCAATTTAATAATAATAATAATAATAATTAAATTGCTTGCCGTTCACAAGTTACCAGTCGATTACAATCTACGAGGACCAAGCTGGGAACAAGTTTTACACCAATTCTGCCTGTGAAGCGTTTTTCTATCTTCTTTTCTATTTTCTTCCCTATTTTCTGTACCTTTCAAAGATTCTTAATTTTTCCAATTATGACTTTTTCAATTTATCAATTATTTATTATTGCTCTTTTGAGTTCATTTTTATGAAATTTTACTATAGCGCGTTCGCACCTCCAGATTCAGTATGGGGTCTTATGGTCTAATTGCCTCTCTTACTTGTTTGCGTCAGTCTTCGATAATACTATCCTTGTTTTTAACCGCATTGATGTCAAATTGACATGATTAAATGGAAGTATTAAAACAAAACATAATCTCCTTGTGCTGTCATTGTCACGTTTGGCAAGCATGTACTATATGTCCATAAGCACCATACTGAATTTGGAGGTGCGAACGCGCTATTGTAAAGTATCTACAACAACAAATATTACCATGTTTTTTGGCAATCAGACTTCAATGGCTAGAAATCTTATGAAATAGTCAAGTTACTTTCGGATCTATATTTGTAGACTTTCAATTTTGGTCTCCACAATATCTCTTTCATTTAGCGAGATTTGAAAAAATGGTCAAATATGATTTTGTATGCAACATCACGATCTATCCGATGACATATTGAATTTTTCGGTAGCACTTCCGGTTGAACCGGCAATCGATGCAACTTTTGTTTTTCAAATTCAATGCGTATGTTTTTTGAAAAGTGCAATCAATTTGCTGTACGACAACATAAAATATGCATATACGAAATCTAGCATGCTCGTGTGCCATATCACACACAAAAGACCTACATCAACTGGTTGAATGTTTCGTTTTGAAGATTTCCTTTTATGGGATACGATCTACCCGTGTAACGCAACAGATTCCCTGCATTCAGACAGCACACGGCATACAATATCGATTTCATAAGTTTTCTAAATATTGTTAACAAATTTCTCCATTTTTCTGGTTATTATACTTTAAAGAAAACCGATTCGTTATACTGATTTGAAGATTGGGTTTTCAGGTCAGGTTTAGTATAACTTGTTGTCCGGCCAATTATTGCAGTAGACTTTTTTTGTTCGAATTTTCCAAAACTAATTTCGGATTCGTGATTTTCATGTCCAAAAACCCCCAGGGCCCAGATACCAAATTTCGTCGAAATCAGAATTTTTTTTCACACTCCCATTTAGGGGTGCGCCCTCTCGTGGTAGGAATTTTGAAAAAAAAATTGCAAAACCGGAAAGGGCATACTCCAAAACTTATTCGAAGACGTGCGACTTGTCATTGTAACTCGTATGGTTGCTGAGAAAAAAATTAAAGAAGAAATGCGAATTTCAGCACTTCTTTGAGGGCCACTCCCAAAGGAAACAGGTTGAACCCTCGATTTATTTGGAAAAAATGCTTGTTTTGATCCTCCCTACCATTCAATTTTTTTTACATGCTTATATGTAACACCCTGTATAAAATCCTTGTTAATCAGTTTTTTTTTAAATCTTGATACACTGCAACCTGAAGTCATTCGCAAATTTTGACAAAAAAACATTGCAAAAAAAGAAGAAAAGTGTTGTGTGTTCTAGTCAGATTTATCCTAAAGATGCGTATACATTACCTATATTATACATTCAGCTTCAGTTTGTATATTAAGCTTAAGGTACCAAGGATTTAAAAAGATTCAGATTTCAAAATATGTTTTGATATTTAGACGAGCAACATCTTTAGAGCCATGGTTTTAACAATCGTCACCAAGAATTCTGAAATTTGAATTCGCGGTGAAATTATTATACTACTGTAAAGAATTAAATATGTTAAAATGCATTAAGTATTAAAATTTCAGAATTTGAAACTTGGGATTCGAACGTCCAAGGATTTCATCTGAGATTCTAATTCTGCCAGTCACTTACTTGGCGTGAGAAGTTTAAGGTGTCGGAGTACAATCAATTAAACAGTGTGAATTTCACAATTTTTTTTTGAAAATACGAATGTAATAGATATTGAAGGGCTTGGTCACTACTACCCAGCCATGAACCTATAGTCGCTTCTAATTGCGAATGTTCCGTAGGAATATTCACTACGCTTTTCTTCTGTAATACCAGAAATTTAATAACAACAAAGTTTAATTAATTAATTTGGTTAGGGAAACGTCAAAACGCATAGCCTTGATGATCCTAAATTAAATGTTTTTCTTCGTATGAGCCATTTGTAACAAATATACGCTAACGTTTGTATTAAATGCGCTAAATAGAACATTTGGTGTAACTGAAACGATCATACAATACCAAAATACCGAAGCATAATTACCTTTCGTTGAAATTAGGGGTTGCACGCTATTTCGCATTATAACGAAATCAAGAAACGGGAATATCTCGCCTGCATGTGCGAAAAGTTCATTCGTGATTAATGTCAATTATTCGATGGCATTGTTTCATAAATAGATTTTAATTGCGAGATGAATTATTACCTAGCGTTGCAATTCAGAAAATTCCATTAATGATTCACATTCTTGCGCAATTCGACAGGTCTGTACGGGCAGTCAGTCCGCTAAGAAAGTGAAAGTAATTCGTCATAGAATCAGAATCCGCGACAAATGTTTTTCTATTAGGCATCGCAATCGCACGCCCACGATCTTACCTACCCAATTTTTCTTGCGCCAAATGTGGTGTTGTGTGTATCCCACGATTTACACGACTCATTATCCCCGTTGTCAATGTCTGTGAGGATAACCGATTGCGATAGTCACTCAGTTGTTTGTTGTTCGCTGTTGTGGTAACGTGTGGTTTTGTGCGGTGCGCGGACGCGTGACGACTCGTTTAGTATATGCAATTCACGTGCTTCGAATTTAGATTCGTAAATACTTCAAAGTGCTTGTGAAAATAATTTGTAAGATTACCCAAATTAATTAATCCGTTTCGTGCATTTTCATTGCTGCGAAAATTTGCATGAAATTACTGTTGCATTTGTGTTCATCTCACCCCTTTCATCACAGCCGTTTAGTTTTAAAAATCTGTGCACATTCCTCGCACACATATTCACATTACCTATTTGTAAAGAAACACCTGGCGCACCCAGTCCCAGTTGAATTGAAATCCAACATAGTTGTCCTTGGAATATTTAATAACTATAAAATTGTCCATTAAGATGCTTAATTCTTCTAAATAAGATTTAATCATCCTACCCCCTTCTTTAATAAAATAATTAAGTTTCATTGACCAAAAGGGTACAGGCAACAAGCGTACTATTGTTTGATTAATCTTTTCCAGTAACTCTAAATGGCGGTGTCGCCCAAGTGCCTTTAAACGACCGACTCGACTACGATACATTCCGTAAATTAAGTTAATAAATTTTAAAAAAACCTACAACGAATTAACAACGAAAAATAAAAGTTTGTGATTATCTGGCGAAGTCACAAACTTGAAAAAAAAGTGAAGTGGTGCTAATTTCAACTAACGACAATGTCTACGCAAGCCTATTATAAAGATCGATTGGGGTTCGACCCCAAAGAAGCACTATTCGACGGTCCCCCGCACGAAAAATATCGCAAAACTGGCGATATGAAAAAGGAACCGCACGGCTACGAGGAGAACCTGACCAAATTTAAAGGTACAACAATATGGGAATATTTTGTCGAATCTACAGGTAATGGTGGTGGGTTTTTGGCTTTCAGCCGCATGGTTTTGTTTTTGCAACTAACTGGTTTGTATTATTTGTGTTTAGTTTCTATTAATATTAGCATAGTTTTTTCCACACTTGCGTGTTTCACAAGGAAATGACACACCGTTAGATATTTTAATAAATGACGAAGAGACTAGTATCGCAATGTAGATCATTATCGTGATGCAAGTATTATATGTTAATGGAGTTTAAAATGGTCTTGGCCACCGGTTTTTCAAAAATATGTTAATCTTGAAGGCGTGGTTTCCAGTTGAAGAAATGCATCTAAAATCTGTCAAATAAAAAGGTGTTTCGCTATTACCTTTATAAAAGCGATTTCCATGGCTAATTAAAATGAATTTGATTTGCATTAAAGACCAATTTAACATCCTATGGTTGTGGTTTATATACACGTCGAGTTCCCGATAGGAATGATTAAACTTTATATGAATAAGTACCCGTGTATATTTAAAAAAATGCCGTCCTGTTGTGAAAACTGAAAGGTCACTTTTGCGAGGAAGTATTTGTGCAGTGGTAAACTTTTTCTCGGAATTTAATTTTAATGATTTTTTAACCAGTATAAAAATGAATTTCAACTGTTCCCATCCACTACCCTTTCTTTACGAGACCCTTTATTAAAACTTTTGCATTCCAACATTCAGACTCTGATGGTTATAAATTTACAATTTGATAAATTGCACGAAAAATGGAATGGTAGAATATATATGAAGTAGGTACTTAGCTATTGTTTAATTTTGACGTATACATTGGCATTTTTTAATACTAATAAAAATTCTGCAATGTTTTACTGATTCTATTTCTAACTTTTAGAACGATTAAAAAATTTAAATTTTCTAACCGGTTGTAAAATACGACTGTTTATTTAAATGTAGATAATAATACAAAAAATCTTGTAATATTATTTCCATTTATAAAATTCCTAACTCAGTCCCTAGACGTTGCATCGCCTTTAGACCTTCGTTTATGATACCTTATCTGCTGTAGGTGTGCAACTATCAAAAGTTGATTTTTATTTAGGCATCAATTTCGTTAGAGAAGAGAACCAAGCCAAAAATTTGGCGCATTTTAGTAACCACATGAGAATTGACTACACGCTGTTTTAAATTGTCCTATATCTTAATTGCTCGATTCCCGTCAAGATATGATCTATAAACTATTTTAGTATCGTTATTTAGATCGAGTTCGTTTGGAAAACAAGCAAAATATGTGATACTGTGATGTCCAAGATCAGAATTTGGTAAGTGCAGGTATTTTGACCAAACTATATCAAAGTCGTTATAAGTATATAATACTTATAGATCAATTTTACAGGAAAGCAAAATGTTGGATGGCCATTTTAAAAGTACGTTTCCAAAATATCTTGATCGGTTCAAGTGGGTTGCGCTCACAAGTCCACGTGTTTGCTATGATGAAAGTTTTCACTCAATTTCATTCAAGGTGTATTGGTCACAATACCTACCACCTTACTTGAGTCACAACCTTTACCTTAATCACAACGTCCACCGATCCTTTTCTCTGTATTTGAATCATAACGTTAATTTTTTAAACAGGATACAAATTCCACTATGATCATGATCAGAAACTCCACTGGTGACACGATTTCGTGTGTTGCCGCGAAATGGGAGTCTTGGAAATTTTGTCTGTAACACTGAATCTATCACAATTTTTGCAAATAAGAGGTTTTTTTGTATTATCCACAATTATAAACAGTTTGATACCAATCTACGTACTTTAAATTTGTGATCAGTGGCGTACTTCTGCATAGTCAAGAGAGCATATTTTTGTTAATGGTGTAACGGTTAATTTTCTATATTTTCTCCAGAATCTAGGTTTAATTTACATTCAATTCGGGCGGCAGGTTGGGAATGTTTTAAGGGCAGGTCTACCTTAGAGGCTTACGTTCACTTCTTTCATTTTCCTTTCGAATGTAAGTTTCGCTCCTCTATCTGAGCTCTTCACTCTTCATCTTTCCTTGTTTTCTATTCTATGGGACGGGTTTCAGGAGTACTCTATTTTCTGTCAGCTCCAGGGGTTGGTCTATTTTTTTTTATTGGGGATTTTCCTGGGTTTTAATTTGTTTGGGGTGGGTTGGGTTTGGGTTTTTACTTTATGTCTTGTCCATTAATTACGGGTTATAACATTTCAATTTTCCTAGTTCATTGTTCCTTTCTCTTCTGTGATTTCACATCTTAATCTTACTGATAACATCGAACTGTTCACATTTAAAAATCTTCCTATTCTTTCTCTCAGCTTATCTAGGTCTTCTTTCTTTGTCCTACAATTTGAATTTAGGAAACTTTCGGTTTCATTATTTGTATTACCTAATAGATAAGGGGAATCCCTAGTTCTCTTGATTTTTCCCCGAATTCATTCTTCCTGTGGCATTGTAAGACACTTGTCTGTATGTGGTGAAGCTACAAATTCTTAACTGGGTTTTATCCGGCTCATCTGTGAGGATTATCAAGAATTTAAGCTACATTTACGCCGTAATTATTATTTACTTACGTTTCAATTGTTCCAATTGTGATTTGGCGTTTTACGCGTTATGCGGATCATTAACCACATGGCAGCATAAAACTTAGGCTCGTTCAACACCTGTAGAGGTAAGCCAACTTATTACCATCTTGCACGGGATTTAGGTATAAATTCTTTTAGCCATTCTATTCTCTCTGGAAATCAATTTTATATAATTAATCGAACGTCACTGGACACTACCTATTCTTCCGTCTTCGTCAGCGTCACTTCCATTTCTTCTATCAGAACTTCAGGATAGCACCAAGGGTTATCGAAGCCGAGGCACACCTATTGTTGTATCTACCCCGAGTTATACCAGCTTCCGAAGAACCATCTTCAGTTATACAACCATCGGCTACTAAAACACCAAAAGGTCAGCAACCTCGCCCAAAACTACCCCTGAAGTCACTCACTCCCTTTCTTCTCTTCCCTTACTCCTTCTTATCTTTTTCCTCTTATCTTATCTCCCTGTAATCTCTTGTCCTCAGTTATGCATTCATATCCTTAATCATTCACCTCACACATACCTATCTATTCAATAAAATCTGTTTATAATTATAATTTGTGTAAACTAATATTTGACAACTACCTTTGTAGTTCAAGTATAAAACTGTCAGGTGCAATACAACTACCGCTTCACGGTGATTCATTTCAACTACTTTAAATTTTTGTAAGACTAAAACAAGAGTTACCTAAATCTGAATAACTGCTGTCTGTCTGCAGCACTCTAATTGCACGTCTCGATGAAAGATCTTTCCACGGCAACCTGCAAACCTTTAACTTTGATCAATAACATTGACCGGTATACGTCTACTGGCACTAACCTTTGTTATACTATTCTTGTTGCCGTCAGGTATAATTCTCGCACCACCTAATTTTTGTTGTCCCGTGAAATACAAAAACCAATTTTATCACTTCCCCTAATTAACCTATCTCTTCAGAACTTTATATTGATTACCGAATAAATAAATATTGTGCACCTTTCTTTCTTCGCCTACTTCGTCTCTCCTACTTTCTTTTATTTCTATTTAGTGTTCCTGAGTCTGACTTCAGCCAGTTTCGTCTGCTTTGGAAGCGGAAGCAGAACCGTCCACGATCTGTTAGATACCTTATATACAGCTTCTGGCGCCTGGGATTTTTTTTTTCACACTTTTAGTTTAACCTCGACCTACACCGACGAGCGGCCGGCAACAGATCTTTGATCACCGCTGTAACCAGGCTACGTGTTTGTCCAGATTTTCCTTTGTGTTTGTTTTGTTTTCTTTTTCCCTTTCAGCGTGTCCCAATGGCAACTACTACTTTTTATTGCATATTATTAAAGAGTACACTTTCTTGGATATATAACAAACTTATTATGTTACATAAACAAATTTAAGAGAAAAACTAAAATTAAAGAGAATGGTTGTGTTAATTCATTTTATATTCCACTAGTTTGCGTCTTTTATTAGTGTTGTCAGACCAATTTATTGTGTCAGAAATGTGCAACAAATCTACCTAAAAACTATGAGCAGTGGCGTGCGCTTGCATTTAATTCAGTCGCTAAAGAAAATACTATTTGTTATTATTGCGATTTTCACTCGGATTTTCATTTAAAAAATCACCCTCTAAGACTGTAGATTTTTAATGGTTTTTGATTTAATAAATTGCTTTCACATAACTAGCAAAAGAATAAAGCTTGTGAAATTACAAAATGAATTATAAAACAACTAATTTCTTTAATTTGTGTTTTTCTATTAAATTTTGATATGTAATATAATACATTTTTGCATTTGTATATCTCAAAAGGTGTACACTCAGGTGTACGCTTTAAGAATAATGTAATAAGAATAGTTGTTGATATTAAAAAATACATTTGCCCCCTTAAATTATACAGACGTACGCCACTGACAAAAATTTTAGGGTATGTAGATTGCGAGGTAGATGGGTATTACAACTTTGGATACCATAAAAACATCCTTTAAAAATATTGTTTGGAAAATATATTCAGTGTTCCAGACAAAATTTGTACACGGTATATTATGTATAATACCATAATTTTTTTGTAGATGTAAACTAGAGAAAGATATACACAGTGCGTGTCAGCCAAATTGAAGAAAGTCGATAATAAATAAATGGGAAAAAAACGCACTCGGGCACGTTAATTCGAGTGTTAATTGGTATTTTTAGTTGCTCATTTTTATCAAAAAAAAAACCTTTATAGAGGGTGTGTCATGTAAAAGTGGTTAATACAAACTTTTTTAGTTTTAAATGTAACACTATACAGGGTGTTCCCGAGGATGTTCCTAAATGTGATGTACATACGCAAGGCGTTAATTCTTAGGCTTATTGTATGACTAAAAGTTCTAAACATAGATTCGCAAACGCTTCGTTACATTTACAGGGTTTTATAATTTCTCGATTTCTTAAGCAGTTTTTGAGATATTTAGCTCAATTTTGGAATAAATTACGTT